GTGTTTCCCGACGAAGCCCCATGCCCGTCACGCCCGGGCATTCGGGGAGGCACACCGGTCCCTGTGTTTCCAGACCCCCGGCGCCGCAGTCCCGGTGCCTCGGGGGTCCCGTGCGGCGCGTCATCGGCTGGGGTGGGGTGGTGCGCGCTGTGGACCCGGAACGCGAGCTGGTGGTGTTCTGGGTATTTACCCATATCGGGCTCTTCCCCAAGCCGGGAATTCACCCCGCAGCCAGTCCTGTGTCCCCAGGGTTGTCAGGCCCCCACCCCCCGGTGGACGGGCTCTTTGTTTTTCTCTCGGGGAAGACCCACATTAAAGGGAGGCTCAAAAACCCGGGCCAACGCGAGCCTGGCCATCCTGAGAGGCCAGGCCGACTGAGAGCAGCTGGGGCGGGCCCATCTGGGGAAGTCCCCGTGGGTCACAGATTTCTTTCTAACCTGGGTGTTTATGCAGAAGCCCGCGTGGCCCACCCTGTGGTGCAGGAGGCTGCTTGGATTCCCCTCCTGCCTCTTTCGTGCTCTGGTGGGGGTGAGGTTATTACCCCGTTCCATGCCTCACTTTCCCCATCTGTAAAATGAAGTAACAGTGGCCCCCTCTCAGTGGCTAGGGTCAGTGAGCCGGCAGCCCCAGGTGCCCAGCAGCGAGGAGCATCCATTCTTCAATAATTATCTCATATATCTTATGGTCTCATGTTATGTCATTATTTTAAAATAATTGTATCACTTTGTTATTTTATGATTGCTTTAATATTTTTATATTTATTGTTACTTTGTTGTTACTGTCTCCACCTGGGTATTTATCTAGAAGTCACTTAGGTCTCTACAGATGTGGGTATTTACCCCCCCTTTTAAGGGGCCTTAACCACCCAAAGTGGGTATTTACCTTCCAGGTGGGTCCCTCTGCCCCGCCCCCTGCCCCCCTCCCCTCTGAGTCTGGGGGGAGGGTGGCTTGGCCACCCCTCTGCAGGTCAGCCCCACCCCAGCATGAGTCACCTCCGCTCTGAGCCCTCCTTGATTTCCTGCTCTAGGAAGTAGGTTCCTCTCTGGCCTGAACCTGGGGGAGGGGCTGGTGTCAGAGAAGGTGTGTTTTTGCCAGGGGGAGTGGGTGTCAAAGGACCCGTTTAAAAACCTGCAGGGAGCAGACTTGGGGGAGCCAAGGAGCCTGTTCTCTCCAAACCCACCCTCACTTAAGGGCTTCAGTTCCCCAGAGACCATAAAGTGCTCTCTATGGGTGGCAGGGGAACAGAGGTACCGGGCCTTGGGTGAGCGTGTAAGCAGAAGTTCGAGTATTCACTCAACAAACAGCTACTGGGTGCCGCTGTGGTCCAGGCTGGAGAGACACAGAAGGGGCCAGGAGGACCCTGTCCTTATCAGACTAGTGAGGGAGGTGTGAGCATCAGGAGTAAACAAGTAGAAAGACCAGCTGGTCTCTGCTGCCAGCGGGTAACCCCGGAAACAGGGCTGATTGGGGTAGTTGAGGGGCAGGGCGTTTTCTCCTGGGCGGTGAGTTTTGAGGGAGAATGAGCCGGTGAAAAGGTGCTTCAGGCAGGGGGCTGAGCGTGTACAAAGGCCCTGAGGCCGGCTGTTCCTGACCAGTTCGAGTTGCAGGGAAAAGGCCCTGTCGGGGGAGCAGAGAGCGTGAGGGGGAGGGGTCAGGCACTGATACCCGATGTGGGTGTGTTTTATAGAAAGTTTATGCTCGTGTCCGCCCTTTCTCCCCAGCACGCAGGACAGATCTGACTGGCTGGGTTCCTGTTCTCCCCCACCTGGCCCCCTCTGCCCTGCCCTTTGTTTTTTGAATGGAGGCTCCAGGCCCGGCAGTTGGCCCCAAGGCTCCTGCTGGAATCTGGTTGAGGTCTGTCAGCTTGAGCTGGTGGTAGGACTCACTTTCCATTGCTCCGCTCAGCACCGGGGACTCACGAGAGGGTGTCGAGGCCCCCGGAGGTCTGTGGGACCAGGCACAGACCCAGGTGGTCCTAGTATGCGGCCTCTGTCAGATGCCAGCCCAAGGAGGGGCTGGGCCTTGCAGGGAGGGCGCTGTGGTGCCACAGGTGGTGGTAGAGCAGAGAAGGGACCAGCTGGTTCCTCG